CAAAAGGCCAGGCCATTCATATGCAAAAGTCTCTGCACACAGCTTGGGTGGGGCAGGGTCTCAGGGAATCAACAGGGCAGAGCAAACAGCTATGGATGATCCTCAACCCTGCCCTAAGAGGCCCCAGGTCTCAGTGTCCCAGTAATCGCTGCAAGCACCTCTGAGAGAAATCCGCCCTCGAGTTCCGACTGATGCCAGACAGTCCAGTTTCTCCCCCTATGAGTCTGTGTCCCCAGAGACTCGCCTGGAACAGGAGTTTAGAGCAGTCGGGAGCCTGTGTCTCCCTCCCGATTGAAAAAGACAACCACGTCCTCAGTTGCCAGCCCTACCTGCGTGTGCCTCCGTACCTCTGCACTTTACTTCCGCACCTCCTTGAGTCTCAGTAGTTGTATTTTTGAAGTGGTTGTGTTAGGCAGCAATTTCTGGTGTTTACCTATGCAGCCATCTTGTTTTCCCAATTTTTTAAAAAAGACACTCACAAGTCAATAAGAAAAACTTCATCATCTGATTAGAAAATGGGCAGAGCATCTAAATAGATGTTCTTTCAGATAGACATTTAAATGGACAATCTATACTAATAAAAGGGTAATATGCTAATTAGGCTGGATATCTTCGGGACAAAGCCGCGGTGGCAGGGGCCAAGGCAGAGGCAGTTAGGGGTGATCAGGCTGGCAGCCAGGCAAGCTGTTAAGAGCCAGCAGTCCCGGATTGTGAGAGGGATGTCTGACTGCTAGTTTTGGGCCTAAACCAGCAGTTGGACATCCGCCTGAGTGGTCCCAAATTGGAGAGGGTGCAGGCTGAACTGAGGGGACCCCTGCCCTGTGCATTAATTTCATGCACTGGGCCTCTAGTAGGTACATAAAAAGATACTCAACATCATTAATCATCAGGGAAATGCAAATCAAAACCATAATGAGATACCATTTCACACCTGTTAGAAGGGCTATTATCAAGATGAAAGAAAACAGGGGTTGACAAGGATGTGGTGATAAGGAAATACTGTTGGTGGGAATGTAAATTGGTTTAGACTCTATTAAAACATGGAGTTTTTCTAAAAAAATTAAAAATAAAAGCCCTGGCTAATTTTGCTCAGTGGTTAGAAGAGTCTCTGATTTGATTCCCAGTCCAGGGCACGTACCTCAGTATAAGGTTAAATACCCAGCACTAGTCAGGACTCAAGCTAGAGGCAACCAATCAATGTGTCTTTAACACATTGATGTTTCTCTCTCTTTGTCTCTCTCTCTCTCTTTTTTCTCTCCCTTCCAGTCTCTCTAAAAAGCAATGGAAAAAATATCCTCACTCCTCAGGTGAGAATTCAAAATAAAGAACTATCATATTACCCATCAATTCCATCTCTGAGTATATATCCAAAGGAAATTAAAATAGGATATTAAAGAAATATATGCATCTTATGTTACACTAACCATAATGACCAAGATGTAGAAACAACCTGTGTCTGTCAATGGATGAATGGATAAAGAAGTTTATCCATTATTCTATCATGAGAAAGAAGGGGAATTCTGTCATTGCAACATGGATGGATTTTGAAGGTATTATGCTAAGTGAGATAAGTCAGACAGAGAAAGACAAATACTGTATAATATTATTTATATGTTAAATATAAAAAATCCAAACTCATACAACAGAGAATAGAATGCTTTTTATCAGGAGATGGGGCATGGGGGAATTAGATATTGTTTAAGGGACCAATCTTGCAACTACTAGATAAATAAGTCCTGGAGATCTAATGCACATTATAATTATTAGAGTAAATAATATTTTATTACAATGATCAAAGTTTCTAAGAGACTAGATATCAATTGTTCCTACCACATACACACAAAAAGATAATTATGTAATGTGATAGAGGTGTCAACTAATGTTAAAGTGGCAATTATATAGCAATATTTAAATGTATCAAATCAACATGTTATACACCTTAAATTTATATAGTGTTTTATGTCAACTAAGTTGTAGGGACATAGGAGTACTGAGAATTAATCAACTTTGTACAAGGCCCAAGATACAGAAGTTATAAACCTGAAATATCAAAACTGTTAATGTTTTGATAATGGAAAGAAGAGCAGAGATTCTTCAGAAAAGAGCAGACATGTACATACACAGAAATCATCAGTAAATTTTCTAAGCTAAATCAAACCCTTTACCTTTCAAATTTATGGAATGAGAAAGTACTGCAGGGGAAAGAGACCTTACTGTGGGGCATCAATCATGGTGGGTCTCAGAGGATCAAGCTAAAAGAAGTGATAACTGTCCCTGTACCTCCAACAGATCCCTTGAATTAAATTAACACATAACCCAGCTTCCTGAGTTTTACTAATAGATATGGCTTCTAGAATCAAACATATTAAGATTTGGACAGTTTTTTTCCCCCTAGTGAACTAATAGTTAATGCACTAGAAATCAAAGGATAAACCATTGCACTGCTATTTTTCACATGCCATTTACCTTTATTTCTTGGCTGGTAACACAAAAAGTAACCATATCTGACAAATAGCAGCGCAGAAATGATTATGTAAAGTACTGTTTCCAAATAAGTACATTCTTGGAACAAATCATCTGAAACAGAAATCACAAAGATTCAATTAGGAAAGTAAAAATCAGGGTGTTCAGTGAACTAGAAAGAGATACTATATAGTAAAAAACATGCCATTTCACACATTGGTCTTCCTGCATCGCTAGGGATAGGTCAGGCTTGGAATATGTGCATTGAGGCAAAGAGTAGGGCTGGTGTCATTTGACTTAATATGATATTAGAGCTGAAAAAGCTATCTCTTGCCAAATTTCCTCCTCCATTCTATTACCAACTGCCACATTAGAGAGCAACAGAATATCATATCTCTGTATAAGATCTGAGTAGCTTAAAGTCCTAAGTTAAATTTGTTCTCCCAAACGTAATGTTTAGTGATAAAAAATAATAAAAACAATATAAATTACTTTTCTGCTAAAACTATTCCTTCTGTAGAGAAACTAATGATGGTTTACATTTTTGTAGCTAACTTCATGGGGGAAATTTGACATGCATTTTTTAATAATGTTCTTTCAGGATTTTGCAATCAGAGCTTTGCTAGCCCAATCCAGAGATTGCTGCTAATGTCTGGAGAGAGAGAAAAAAAAAATTAGTGAAAGATCAGTGTCTTGCAATTCCAGAACCACAAGGAAAACTATATCTTCAGTTTTCTAACTTTAACCCTTTTAAGAAATAGTCCCCAAAGAACAGTTAAAGTGCTTATTTGAACATTATGCCAAGTGAAATAAGCCAGTTAGAGAAAGATAAGTACCATATGATTTCACTCATATGTGGAATTTATTGAACAAATTGAACTACCAAGCAAAATAGAGGTAGACTCATAGATAGAGAGCAGGCAGACAACTCTGGTTGAGCGGGTGGTGTTGGGGGGTGAGGGTGAAGGGATTGAGAAAAAAAAAAGAGAACTCATGGACATGAACAACAGTGTGGTGATTGCGGGTGTGGGTGTGGGTGCAGATGGAAGAGGGCATAGAGGGGATAAATGGTGATAAAAACAATAAAAATAAGATAAGAAAGAAAGAGAGAGAAAAGAAACACCTCCATAGAACCATTAAAGCGCTAATTTGACCAACCCCACTAAAGATTATTCAAGGTTCTAAAAGAGGTATTCTCAAAAAAAAAAAAAAAGTTGAACTTGTAATGTGACCACACAGCTACACAGTAGCTAATTTGGCCTTATGCAACTGTTCTGGGGGAAAAATACTTGAGCTAGAATAATCCAGCTTTGCAACATAGGACTATAAGAAAGGAGTCCTAAGATATAAGTAACAAAAGAAATAATTTGAGTGAAATGAAAGTTTAAACCATGATTTAAATATTGGTATTCTTGAAGGGTCCTGAAACCAATCCCCTTCATACTGAGGAAAAACTGTAATTGTGAGCAATTTTATAATGTCTGCATTTCATATTTTTATGTCACTATTTGTGAGGTAAATTCTAAAGAAAAGGGTGTTTAATTACATTATTTAAGATTAAAACATTACTTAATAAAAGAATAAAATAATAAAACAAAAATAGAATAAGAAGGGCTAAAGAAAAGAGGGCTAGCAAAAGTAAGAAAAGTCTTATTTTTTTTTTAAAACAGATGAAGGTATTACTTAAAAAGGGAAATTAAGAAATTTATATAGACACATTCAATTAAATTTATGTAATTAACTAGAAAAGCTGAAAACCAGAATGCTCAGAAGTGGTTATATTTAATGAGTGAAGTATGTGGTTGACATGGGATAAAAAAATTTATAATTTTCACTTGGTATCTTTCTATGTTCTTTGAGACTGTCTTTTCACCATCACATAAGAGCAACATGTTATTATTGCATTAATATATACTTCATTAATAAACTTTGAAAGCTATATTTTCTATAAAATTATAAATTTTTATACTTTTCAAAGTCATTTACAGCTAAATATAACATCCTCTGGCTTTGCATTTAATCCCATAAATTTAATAATCCTATTTTACACATTTGCAGTAAATTAGCATTTGGCAAGCAGTTCTAACTATAATAATTTATTTTGTTCCAAATTATTTTTATAGTCATTTTATTTATTTACTTTTTAAAATTTATCTTTATTGTTGAAAGTATTACATATGTTCCCTTTTATTTTCCAGTTGACCCCCTCCACTCTGCACCACCCCTTCCACGCCTTCACCACACTATTGTTTGTGTCCATGGGCTATGCATATATGCATGTAAGTCCTCTCCCCAACCTCCCTTCCTCTTTAATCTCTTTTCACCCACCACCTCACCCCCACCTTTCCTCTGAGATCTGTCTGGATTATTAATTATGACAATAGCCATATAACTATCAATAAGAGAATCTATTCCCAAGACTCACCTGCTAGTTTAATACTTGTCCACTTCTTTTGGCCAGTTATTGGATTCTGAAGATTACATGTAACACCTGTTTTGGAGTTGTCATTGAGGATAAGAGTAGTGCTTATGTGGAATAACTTGGATTGATCTTGTGAGTAGGATTCTGATGAAGGCGGAATTATTTGTCTACTGCTATCTATCCATTGTATCTGAGGTTTAGGGAACCATCCTCCTGAATTACACTCCACCATTATCTCACTGTTGGTAATATTTACATTAAACTGCATCTCCAAGCCTACAGCTAGTGGGTGATAAAAAGAAAAAAGAAAAAAAAAGCAGGGTAGTTATGCTGGAAGGATGGCAAGTAAAGAGAAAAAGACATAAAATCACTTATCCATAATAATAGAAGTGTAATAGGCTAATTAGACCAGGTGTCCTTCCAGATGTCCTTCTGGACAAAGCCAGGACTGTGAGGGAAGCCCAGGTCCCAGGTGCCTGCCAGCGGCTGGAGGGAAGCCGGTGCCTGCAACCAGGGGAAGGAAGGCCTATTCTTGTACAAATTTCATGTATTGGGCCTCTAGTATGTTTATAACTGCATAAGTAGACTAAAGTATCAATTATTGCAAGAAGATTTAAAAAATTGTAATCAAGATTGGCACCCAGCATTTGCAAATAGTGGTACCATTTACAGAAATGGGGAAGTGTTGCTGAGTTAATAATATAGGCTCAGGGAAGACCACCCCTCTCCTAAACATAATAAAGTTCACAATAAATTTGAGAAAGATCTATAAAGTTCATTCAAAAGAATTTGTATAGCCTTGCTTGCTATACAAACATTTTTGAAATCAACACAAAGTAAAAACAACCAAACAAAACAAAATCATACAATAAACAAACAAACATAAAAAACAATAAAGTGTGTGTGGTTTTTTTCCAACAAAGGTTTCAATAAATTCTGAAAAAAATAGTGGTTAGAGATTTTAAAGTGCATGAGCGTCTATTTGAAGTATCCTTTTTTCTCCTAAAGCACTTAACTATATATGTATGTAACTTATACTGCTATTTTTTCAATGAATTGTTCTAAATGAACATATAGTTACTCCCCAAACTTAATTGTGAGCAGAACAAAGAATAAAACTACAATAATTCTAATATCTGAAATTTGGGTACTTTTAATAGATCTGGCTCTACGATTTAAATTAATCTACACTAATAAAAGACAAAGATGCTAATTGACCATACCTTCGCTGCACCCAAGCCACGCCCACTAGCAAATCAGAGCGGACTATATGCAAATTAACCCAACCAAGATGGCAGCCGGCAGCAATGGAGCTGGAGCAAGCAAGAGGCTTGGTTGCCCCAGCGATGGAGGAAGGCAAGCTTCCCGCCTGCTCTGGCCGGCTGTGGCCTCCTCAAAAGGCAAAAAAGTTTCAATTATAGAAGCTAAATAAATCCCAGATACCTGCTTTCAGCTAGCTTCCACTGGGAACTTGGGTGGCTGGGGGCTGTGGCCAGCCGGCAAACAGCTATCAGCACCTCACCCTGGATGGCCACACCCTCATGGGGTGAGGGTCCCTGCTGGTGGGGTTGACCAGCCTTCAAACAGCCATCAGCCCCTCACCCAGGCTGGCCAGGCACCCCAGGGGATACCCCTACCCTTAAAGGGCTATGGCCAGCCTGCAAACGGCCCTCAGCCCCTCACCCAAGCTGGCCAGGCAACCCAGCAGGGACCCCCACCCTGAAGGGGCTGTAGCCAGCCTGCAAACAGCCCTCAGCACCTCACCCAGGATGGCCAGGCACCCCAGTGGGGACCCCCACCCTGAAGAAGGAGTGGCCAGCCTGAAAACAGCCGTCAGCCCCTCACCCAGGATGGCCAGGCACCCCAGTGGGGACCCCCACCCTGAAGAAGGAGTGGCCAGCCTGAAAACAGCCGTCAGCCCCTCACCCAGGCTGGCCAGGCACCCCAGTGGGACTCCCACCGTGATCCGGGACACCCATCAGGGCAAACCAGCCAGCCCCCACCCGTGCACCAGGCCTCTATCCTATAATAAAAGGGTAATATGCAAATTGACCCTAACAGCAGAGCGACTGGGAATGAGTGGTCAGTATGACACACACTGACCACCAGGGGGCAGATGCTCAATGCAGGAGCTGCCCCTTGGTGGTCAGTGTGCTCCCACAGGGGGAGCTCTGCTCAGCCACAAGCCAGGCTGATGGCTTCCAGTACAGCAGTGGTGGTGGGAGCCTCTCCCGCCTCCTCAGCAGCACTAATGATGTCCTACTGCAGCTAGGCCTGCTCCCTGCTGGCAAGTGGACATCCTCTGAGGGCTCCCCGGCTGCCAGAGGGATGTCTGACTGCCAGCTTAGGCCCAATCTCCCACCCTAAGCCAGCAGGTGATCATCCCCTGAGGGGTCCCAGACTGTGAGAGGGCACAGGCCGGGCTGAAGGACCCTCCCAAGTGCACAAATTTTTGTGTACTGGGCCTCTAGTATATATATATAAATGCTTAAGGGACTGTTACGACTGAACAACCAGAATGACCAGAACAAATGGTCGAACAGTTGCTAACATGCACTGACCACTGTGGGGCAGATGATCAATGCACAAGCTACCCCTGGTGGTCAGTGAGCTCCCACAATGGAAGCACCACTCAGCTGATCGACCCATCCCATATATTGTATTGTGTGTTCATCATTTCAAATCAATTCTTTTTTCATCACCATTTATGTCCCCTTGGCCTTCTTCTACTTCCCCCCATCCCCGCTCTTCCCTCTGGCAATCACCACATTGTTGTCTGTGTACATGAGTCTTTCTTTCTTTTTTTCTTAATGCCTTCACACTTCTCACCCAGACCCTCCCTTCTCCCCTCTTTCAGCTGTTCTTAATATCCATGAGTATTTGGAACTCATTAAATATTTTCACTAATTAGTTGTTGCTCAAATTTGTGAGGGCAAATATTAGCAGCTGAGACTAAGATAGCTAGGTTTAGCTATAATCACATCATTGAAGGAGGGCTTTCAGTTTTAGGCTAAGATTATTATAATAATTTTTTAGAAGATAGTAAACTATAGAAAGTTTCAGGAAAACAGAAATGCCCTGATTTTTATTTGGCTTTAAAAAAATAAAATTTTAGAATATTTTACTAACAACTATATGAGTGAAATAATTTAATAATTTAATATTAAAAATGAGAAATCTGGGTAAAGGTATATGGAATACCCTATAATATATTTGCAATTTTTCTGTAAATCTAAAATCATTACTAAATAAAAAGTTTTTAAAAAGTATTAGGGTGGATTGTATCAATGTTAATTTCATTATCTACACTAATAATAGATAAATATATAGATTGACTGTCCCTCCACAATGCCCACAGCCAATCAAGAGTGAGTATGCAAATTAACCTGACAAAGATGGCGGGCCTGTGGGCATAGTGGAGGTACACAAGCACCAAGCAGCTGGGGTTGGGGCAGGATGCCTACTATGACAGGGTTCGGGGGGTGGAGTTAGGTACAGGAGGGTGGTGAGTGAAGGTGGAAGGTGGCTCCAGCTGGAGCAAAGGCAGAAGCCAGAGCAAAGGCCTGGGTCCTGGGTGCCAGAGGGAAGCTGGTGCCTGCAGCCAGGGGAAGGAAGGTCTATTCTTGCATAAATCTTCATGAATCAGGCCTCTAGTTGTGATATAATAAGATAATTATTTAAAATGTTACTATTGGAGAAAACTGGATGAAGGGTAAATACAATATTTATTATTTTTTAAAATTGATTATGAATCCATATTTACTTCAAAAAAAGCTTGATTAAAATAATTGGTAAAATTTTACTCTGGTGTCAATAGTGAGGATGAATGTATTTAATAAATCTGACAGTAATTCTGAGAGTTCAGAATAAGTCTATTATTATTTGAGATTTATAGGAAAAGTGAAAGGACCTGAAGAATTTATTATCTGTCTTTTTCTCTTGCTGCTCTCCTTTATTTTCCCAGACTAATGGTGATTGTATCTTGGCACAATAATAGCCAAAGCAGATAACTTGGAAAAATCGGGGGGTGGGGGGGGAAATCATAGCATTGCCTAAAAGTCCAACCTCAGATTACCCCAGAGTCAAGAATAACAAATCGGAAGAAACCAAGATGGCGGCATAGGTAAACACCGGAGTTTGCTGCCTCGAACAACCACTTCAAAAATAAAACTAAAAGACGGAATGGACATCATCCAGAACCACAGGAAGGCTGGCTGAGTGGAAATTCTACAACTAGAAGGAAAGAGAAAAGCATACCGAGA